TGATGTGCTGGTTCCCACGTTGATCTTTCCTCAGGGGCGCCTCGCCATTTCACGAGATGGCGAGCGGAGGCCCCCCCGCCCCGCTGATCAAGGATGTAATCCACAAGAAATTGGTCTGTGGGATTACCGGCTTCATCGGGAACTGGTGGCCAGCCCACCAGAGCTTCACGAGGCACCTGGGCGTCCTGCCTCGGGCGATGCAGGATTAGTTGGGAGGCATGGAAGACGTTACGTCGAGCGTAGGAGTCGGGCAAGGCGAGGCGGTAGGCGACTTTCCCGATGCGTTCCGTCACTTCCAAGGGGCCTCTGTAGCGGGGCTCGACGTTGGAGCAGTCGTTCAGTGCCGGGAAATGTTTGGCACTGAGCCGTACCTTGCGTACTCAACAGCCCTGTGTTTGAGGATATCTGGATATCCGATATCCATACAGCAGACCTGTGCTGCGCCTCCTTTCCTATTTGCGTGCGCGTATCATGAATAAGGGCAAGCTGTCCAAACTGCCCTTTGATCGCTTGGTTCCTGAAATGGTTTGCGTCTTCGTTTCTTCCAAGCGCGGATCAGTGCTGGATATCCTTGGAGATGTACAAGGATGGATATTAAAACGTAAGCAAAGATGCTCCCAGACCTCTGTGAAGCGGGGGTCTCGGTCTGAGATGAGAGTGTCGGGAAAGTCGTGGTACCGGATTAGTCTGTCAGCTAATAGGACAACTGTATCTGCTGCAGAGATCGTGCGGGTTCCCACGTGGCCCATTCCTCGGGGGCGCCACGCCATTTAACTAGATAGAAGGCCGAAGATCCCGAGCCTCGTTGGTACAAGATATAATCCACAAGGTACTGGTCTGTGGGATTCCCTGTCTCGTCCCGAATTGGCGGTCACCCAGCTGGCGCATCTTGTGAAATTTGTGTCGCCGGTGGAGGACGATGAGGAATCAGTTGGGACAAGTGGAAAACGTTGTGCCCAGCATAACTTCCGGGAAGGCCGATACGGTAGGCAACCTCTCGTATCTTCTCAATGACTGAGAAGGGACCTCTATACCGAGGTTCACAATAGCTACAAGGCCCAATAGCATGCCAGTCTCCCCGAATTGGCAAGAAAAATTGCTCGGTCTGGTAGCGGAACCTGAGTCGACCGTGCAGGCACACAGATGCTGCATAGATCAAGTATGGAAGGGCCAATGGTGGCGGATGAGTGGGGAGGAAGATACCCAAGGGGGGAGCCTGTGTAGCGCAGGAACAGCAGCTGTCCTGAGAGTGGTGATAGCAGGACAACGATGCGAAGCATTGGTAGATACGGGAGCATCCAGAAGCTTCATAAACCCTGATACAGTGAGGAAACTTCAGTTAAAGGAGAGACTACTAGCGGGGTAATGCTGTTTCACGGTGGCGAACGGAGAGAAGTTGAGGATCACTCGTGTAGTCAAACGGCTAGTTATGTGGAGCGGGGGCATGAAATTAATTGGGGACTTCTTAGTGGGACCGGTGCCTTACGATCTAGTGGTGGGACTAGACTGGCTGACTGAGCACCAGGCTGCGTGGTCCTTCCCTTCGGACGAACTACGAGCACTGGTAGAGGGCCAATGGATTAAGTTAACACTTGTGCGGGTAAACAAAGGGAGGTCAGAACGGGATAGCGACCCCCGGGTACGCCCAAAGTCCCCAGCTGAACGGGCGTATGACTTACTGGCCAGACAAATAGCCGAGATGCCACAGGAGGAGGCTATGGTATTCCTACGCCCCCAGCCTACGAAGCACAAGTCACACACACGCAAGGGGCTGAAGGTGGATATTAAGGCAATACTACAACAGGCCAGGGAGAACACGACACAGATTCAACACCCGATGCAAGGACTGTCCTCTATCCTTGCAATACCGGTGGGCGAGAAGCCCGAAACACCGAACCCGACTGAGGTTGGACAAGGGACATGGTGCTGCGCCTTGTTGGGAACCCCCAAGGTACCTGCACGGGCCGGGGAGAACAGAGATATGGGGGAACAAGGGCAGAACGACGATGATGAGGAGTCCCCATGGCCGACAGCTACCCTGGAGTATTCGCGCTTCGATGACTGGCTGAGGTCCGAGGCAGCGTCGTCGACCCCTGCAATCATCCTTGAGGTGTTGAAGGAATACCGAGCAGTGTTCCCAGATCAGCTGCCCGCAGAACCACCACCGAAGCGTCCTTTTGATCATCGGATCCTCCTAGTGCCCGGGAGGATGCCCACGAAGTCGCCGATATATCGTATGACCCCTGAACAATTACAGGCACACAAACAGGAGATAGCCCGACTGACTGCCAAGGGTTGGATAGGGCCTACATACTCCG